AGCGTTGGCAGAGGGGCCCCGAGCACCCCGGCACAGCCCCTGACAGCGGCTCTCAGGCACCCGCACCATCGCTCTGAAGGTGCTACCGGGGCAAATACACCACGGCTGCGAAACCCCCACGCCGCAGGCAGCCGTTGCCCCTGCATCTTCCCTCCTCTTCCAACACGACACAGCCGTTCCACTGCGGCTGCCCCGGCAGGGCCCACCCTCCGCCGCTCCACAGGCACACTTTGTCCTCACCCCCACAGCCCCTTCTGCTCTCTGCCCGTACCTTTCTGGCAGAACAGTCCATTGGCAGCATGCAAACAATCAGCCAGGGCGGGTTCTCAGCCATGACACCCCACGACCTTGCTCCCACTCTGCCCCGTCAGACCCCTGGGAGAGCCCAGAGCTGTCTCTTACAGACAAGACACGTTCTGCCTGTGTCTCATCCGCCCGTACCCAAAGGGTCCCCACCACCACTTTGTACTGGCTCCCACCTGGCTCTGCTCATCAGCCAAAGGCAAGGCTGCTGCTGCACAAGGCCACCAAAACAAGACCTGCCGGGTCACGGTTGTGTGGTCTTTCCAGAAGAGAAGCGTGCACCAACACGAGGAACCCACGTGGCAGCAGAGTCCTTGGGAACAGACGGCAGCTCTCATCCCTGGTAAGTGAAAGTCCTCATCTCCATCCAATTTGTGGGACTACCTCAGAGGTCAGTGGAAGGGAGACAGACTCCCTGATGCAGGTCAATCTAGCACAAAAAGACTTTGTGGCAATCACTGCCCTTTCCTGATACATCAAGCTTTTCTAGAAGATTTCAAATCAACATCACAGAGCTTTTAGTAAAAGCCACTGATTTTGTTTTGGTTTCCAATTAAGTTCTCAATGCTAAAAGCATTCACAATGGCTGATTCATGTGCATCACGAACTTCTGCTCTCTTCCATTTCTCTGTCATTGCAGCGCTTGCTGGGGACTGAGGAGTCCTAAGAGCAAGCAGAAAAAGAAAAGCCAAACACTGGTGATGGCAGAGGCCGAGCTGCTGGTTTTAACACACTCATTGTATTTTGTAAAATCGACTTCCCTGATGGCACAAACATGATCAACACGGCAGGCCTCCTCGCACAGGGTGAGGTCATATCTGACAGAGTTAAACTCGTAGTACTGCTGCAGATAGTGCGGATCCTTGGATATCCTCTCCAGCACTGTTTGCATGGAGCGTACAGAGCCATCCGGGACTTGGAAGGCTTTTGTCAGCCTATACTCCTCCTCCCATGTCGGGAACTCTCCCTCCCATGTTGAGGCCATGATGTTGGCATGAGTTAGGTTCAAGTAGTAAGTAACCATATCCTGCAGGGAGAGAAAACCACAACGGGGACAAATCAGGAAAGGACTGGCCCTTGAGTGAAACGTTTGGCTGGGAAGCAACCAGCCCCTTCTCCCAGGCACTGGTGTGCAGCACCACAGACACGTGTTCACCGCGGGCAGCGTGTCGCCCTGCCCCGTGAGGGGTGAGCTGCCTCCCAACAGGTGCCTTCTACAGAGATGTGAACCAGGGGACAGACACCCCCGGTGAGAGCCTCCAGAAACCACCACAAAAGCATCCTGCTTCGTAAGTGATGAAGTGATGGCTTCCGTCTGCTTGACTTTTACCTCCAAACATCAGGAATTCTGAGCCTGGCCTGCTTCAGCATCACTCTTATTTACTATCAACACTGTCCACTGGCAGAAGGAAGGGTTGGAGTAGTGTTACTTACTGAGTGAAGTTACTTTCTCAACTGTGAACAAACTAAAGTTTTTCACAACTTCTGTTCTCACTCTCTTGCCCTTTTTCTCTCTGCTTCACTAGCTCCCCAGCCTTCCACAGTATTTTAGCATTAGTTTCTCATGTAAAGAAAGCATCTACAAAGCTGCTTCACCCATTGCAGAGAAAGGCAGAAACACTCCATCCTCTGCCTCTTTGCAAGAGGCAAAGGAAAGAGAAGCTGCCCCTACGATTCACCTAAATTCAGATCCATTACAAATTAATCAAAAATAGGGGGGACCCAAACAATTTTCTAGACAGTTACAAGTTTTTGGAGGGGGTTTGACAAATCTGTCAGTCCCCAAAGAGAAGTTCTGCAATCCACATTACCTGAGTAGTAAAGCAAGTGTCAACAGAAACTAGCTAAAGACATGAAGAACACGACAAAACCTGTCCTGCACTGTCCTGGGGAACTCATCCCATGCCAGCTGACTGTGGTCGCCCTGCCTTTACTCACTGGCACTCTTACTAAATTTTTGTGCTAGACATGAGGCTGAAATATCATGGTTGATGTCCTCTCCTACATAGCTGCTTGGCTCCTGTACTCCTGCCTATTAAAACCAGGAATTAAAGCACCCTTCTAAAACTGCAGCGTGCAGCACACAGGGACCCCCTACCAACACTTGAAGGGTGTCTGGATCATAGTCGATCACCCGAATCCCAGGGTTGTTGGCTCCATTGTTCACTCCAGGTAATGTTGTTTTCCAGGGAGTCACTCCAGGGGCCAGGAACATGACATTGATTGGAGAACCTTAACAGAAAGGCAAAACAACCCATCAATGGGAGACCCTGGCTTGTATCACACCTTGGCCACGCTGCAGTGAGTGCCCCAGGAACCGATCACGCTGCAAAGAGCGGCTTTCTCACCAGCCCTAGTTACAACAGCACACACAAAGATCAGCACGTTGAACGGCATCAGGGACTGAATGCTGGTCTGCTGCAGCTGAGAACAGGCTTTCCACTCCTGTCAAAGACTCTTGCAGTGAGGGTGCACAAGAGAACCACACTCAGCAAAGGAGACCCAGAGCACTACCCATAACCCCAATGCGAAGATTCGTAACTGCTCCCTGATGTCTCAGCTGATGTCCAAAACCCATCAACAGGGAGCAGGCAAGAAGTTGCAAGGCACTGAGGGGAAACAACAAAGTTTGAGGGTAAATGGGGAGGAGGGCTGGAGCTACAGGCTGGGGATGGAGATGAGAACCACTGTTGTCTCATGCTGATCAAGGCATTTTACAAGCTTTTTCCGGCCTCTCAGCTGCATTCAGCTAACAGCCACTGAAAAATCTCATCAACAGTGATCTTCTGGGACTTGGCAGAGCTGTCATGCAAATGCTTGGGTGGCCAGCACTGTACCTGTACCGCTGTAAAACATTCGAAAGCTGTCCGTGTGATGGTGCCCAAAAAACTGGGCAGCAATCACTCTGTGGTGCTTCTGCACGATTTTCAAGTATCGTTCATTAAAGCCACTCCGGAACCAGGGCTTGCCTCGTTTCTTCTCAAAGAAGCCTGGAGGGATGTGCCCCACGATGTAGACCTACAAAAGCAAGAATTGCACTGAACGCAAAGCCCACACTTCCCAGAGAGCACTGGCTTGCCATGACTGCACGGAGGGAAGAGCAGGAGTGAGAGAGCTTCCAGGCTGGGAGAAGCCCTCTACAAAAGTTAGTTTGTTGAGTCATTTCCTTTAATACCATTTCATCTGCTCGAGAGGCATTGATCAGTGTTTCTTCCAGCCACTGGAACTGCCCTCCAGGATCTTCCTCACCAGCTGTCTCGTCATTCTGGTCATAGTACAGATTGGTATTGAGGACAACCATTCGTCCCCTTGAACTTGGGCTGGGCAGCTTCTCAGTGTAGAAAGCTCCTGAAAAATGCAACCAGCAGGGAAAATGGTTGCTGTGACCCCAGATCCCTTTGTTTTCATCCCTCTCAGCTCTCCCTGGCAATAGCCACAGCAGATTCGCTATCTGGACAAGGTGCCAGAGGCCCTCAGACCACTCCAGGATGGGGACTTGGAGTGGCTCTTCCTCCCGCGTACCTCTTGTCACACTTATGCCCCTCAAGGCGAAGGGAGACCCTGCACAGGGACAGCATGCAGCACTACAAGCTGGGCAGCTCTAGAGAGCTTCAATGCTGGCCTGTGCCAGCAGCTTTCCTAAAAGATCTTTTTTCTTCCACTGAAGCTCACCACTCCACATTCCCTGTAGGAACACCTTCCAGTAACTCGAGGAAAGCAGGAGAGACTAAAGCATAAAGAAACTTCTTTTACTTGCAAGCAGAATTCAGTGCCAGAAATCAGCATTAAATTGGACCCTTTCTCTGCAAACACTCTATAAATACTGTTACTCTGAGCACAGAAGCAGGGAAAACCATTTGTGGTATTCTCCTAACCACCCCCATCTCCCCAGAGTGCTGCCAACACGAGCCAGTGGTGCCATACCTGCTCTGAAAAGAGGAACGGAAGCATTATTCAGCCAGGGATGCCACAGTTCAGCTGTTCGGTTATAGATCCTGTGCTCCTTCCCTGGAAACTGATTTTTGGGGTGGAAATCATGATTGCCCATCGCCGCGTAGACTTTAGTATCTAGAGACAGTGAAAAGGAGGCACAGAGGAATTGCTGCTTGCTTCAGAGTTCCTCGGCACCAAAGCCGCCTGAGGCACTCACAGACTTGGAAAGAACAGCATGGCTTGAGAGCTTTGCAAAAGCAAATCTTCCTCACCACAGCCACATGGTTGCACTGACTGGGGTACAACACTGCAAAGACCATCCCTCCTTGGGACAAGCCACCCCAGAGCCATGGCTGTACAGATGAATCAGTGAGTTTTCACCATCAATAACGCTCCTTGCAGCCTTTTCTGTCTTAATGACTAATTACAGAAATGCTTATTTTCCTCTCTTATGAGTGAGTTAACCTGAAGCAACGAGTGCGCATCAGATGCCTCAATTCAGACACGCCTCACGCCATACTGCAACTAGGACGAGGACAAAGGAGTTCTAGCAACCGCACCCCTTCCATGCCTTCCCAATCCTGTCATGTCTCCACCCTGAAGAGCTCTTCCCTGTGCCCTTCTCATCTCCTCACCTCCTACCTGGAAATGTCTCTTTTATCAGAGAAGTCAGATTTTCTATTATGTGCAGAACCTTTTCTTCTCCAAGCTTCTCATTCGGGACATGAGGAGTATCATCTCTAGAAAAACAAAAGCAGCACATTGTCTGTGACTAACAGGGCATATACTTAAAGTGAGAAGCAAGTCAGAGAAACGTGCTTACTTCTCTTTGTGCCTCTGAGAGAATAAAGATAAAGTTGAAGCTTTTGGGGGCAGAAACCAGCGCTATGTTGACTGGCCAAGGCACTGGAGGAGTTTCAAGGAATTACTCAAAGTGAAAATGGGCTCCACTTTTATTCTACCTTGAAAAACCCTATACACAAGCATATGAAGTAGAGGCTCACTCTGCCTCAGTGCCTTTAATAGACACTAAAGCTGACTGGAAATATTGCAAGGAACAGCATTTTGCAATCTCAGGTCACCATCTGATCGGCAATAGTGAAGCAAAGCTGTTTGCACAGCTGTTTGAACAGCAGGATAACAACTCTCATTAAAATGAAACAAAGGAATGCCTCCAGTAAGGCAGTGATCACTGAGGTCTGCCTCCAAATACGTGGCAGATACACACTTCTATGTTTTCACTAATATGCTTATGGCATTTGTAGATGATGCTGGGCTGTCAATAAGACCATCGAAGAAGAAGATCAAAATTCAAAGTGATGTCAAAGAACTGGAGAAAATAGTTTGAAGGAAAAAGAAAAATCAACATGAAGTCTTTATAGACCAATAACTACTTCTAAGTAGGAACAACCTTCCGCAGAGACACAAAATGAAAACATGGGGTCAGGCACCGCAAACTAGGACTGGAGGTTAGAGCATATTACAGGCTGATGGTGCACTGTTAGAAGAAAAACAAGCATTACAAGAGGATGCGTACACTTACAATAATCATGCAAAATAAAGCTTTTACTGTCTGTAAGTGCTATCGACGCCTCCTGTAGAACAGGGTACCTATTTCTGGAGAGCGTACTAGGAGAAAACATAGGGGAGGTTCTTCATACTTCTAAAGCAGAACGGCCCGTTTTTCAGACAAGTCTCCCAGGTGCCTCTACAGTTTGAAGAAATGCCGTAAGACTGTTTTGCAATGCTCTCCTCCCACTGCCTTTAACAGGCAGGACTTGCAGTACCAAAAAAAGCACGTCCCGTTCCCCGTAGTGTTTAAGGTACACAGAGTTTGTATGAAGTCAGACAGGGCTGGCCACAATTAAAAAGAAAAGGAAGGACAGCAAACTGTGATCCTTCCCTTACCATACTGTTTCTCACTGCTGGGGCTTGTGAGGACCTTCTTGCCGGTGTTGAGAGGCCTCCTCACAGTTACGCTCTCCCCAAAGCCTCCATTTTGCATTATAAGGCACATCCATATCTCACCTCTCCAAAATGGTTACCATCTAAAGAGCCCTGGACCCCCCCACACTCCTTATGCCCCGGCCCTGCGGCTGCCCCTTCTCCCCTCCAAGCCCTCGGTGCAGGCGGGATCGTGCCACAGCCCGAGAGCAAGGCGTAACCCCAGAACCCCCACTGCCAGCTCCTGGAATAGTTGGTGTTTCTCC